TTTAAAAAAAAAATACACAAAAACTATCATTTATTTTTTTTAAGATTTATTTATTTGAGAGAGAGAGAAAAAGAGAGGGAGCATGAGTGGGGGGAGGGGCAGAGGGAGAGAAGCTCAAGCAGACTCCCTGCTGAGCCTGGAGGCTGACAGAAGGCTGGACCCCACAACCCATGAGAACATGACCCGAGCCAAAACCAAGAGTCAGAGCTTAAACCGGCTCAGCCACCCAGGCGCCCCTCACAAAACTACCATCATTTTAAAAACATTTCTCAAAGAAGAAAATTTGTTCACCAAAATGTGAATATCCTACATATTAGGGCCCTAATTTTTAAAAATCACATTACACAGAAAGATAGCAAAAACGCTTTTTCTTAATAATGATAAAAGTTTCAATTTATTGAAGATATAAGAATCCTAAATGTGTATGTACCAATTAACAGAACTTTAACACATGAAACAAAAATTGACAGAACTAAATGAGAAATAGATTTATCTATAATAATTGGAGATTTTAATATATATCTTAGCAAAGACGCTTTAAATCAAAGGAAAATATCACCTAAAATATGGATATACTCTGTAACTACTTCTGTATAAAGTTAACAACAAAACCTGGAAGTGCATATCTGCACAGTACAGTCAGAGAAAAGAAGCTCAGTGCCCAAACATCAACAGTGATAAATGAGAAACAGAACCAGAAGATCTAAGTACTCTTCAATTGACATGCATCTATAGTGTTCAAATTGATACTAAGACTGCGTATCAATTTTTACATTAAAAAAAGGTAGAAAATACACAAACGTTTGAACTTACCAGAAAAATCAAAAGAGTAAAAATCCCTATTACAAAAGGATTCATTACTACACCGAGTGGTTTACTAAACATTGTTATTTCCTCACAACAATTTCCTGAAGGGAAAGAAATCTATCTTCATCTAACCACTAAATTAGATGGGTGATAGAGGCCTGTCTTTTCAATTTCAATATATCATGAATATAGAAAACAAATTTGGTCAGAATTTAACAAACATGTTAGGTCAATGAATAGAAAAAAATGGCAGAATTAAATAAAGGGAAGAAATAGAAACAAAAGGCAACACTCTGAAGTCTTAACTACCCTCCATCTAATTATTGCTCATTAAGAGGAAAATTTCTATTTGCCTAAGATCTACAGGAAACATCTGACTCGCAGTGGTTGGCTGCTACCATAACTCTTCTTGGAGGATTGAAAAATGGAGGCAAAACCTTTCTTGCTTTGCTCTCAGAAGCATTGTCACACAAATATAAAAATATCAGATGGTCTTGGATGTTAGGCTAAAGAGTCTGGCTGCTAGTCCACAGGAAAGAGAGAGGCACCAGAGAGGAATGCCAAGCCTCAGGGATGTGCTTTCGGATGATGAATCTGAAAATTGTGTCTAGAATGCAAGGAGCACTGAGGAGGAGGGAGGTCTGTTAAGGGAGATGATAATAGTCTAGGCTAAGAGACCTCCACTAGTAGAATTAACATGAAACAGGGTGAGAAGAAAACACTTACAAAAGATAGCATAAAAGGACAATATAGTCAGAAAGATAAAATGTCACAATGTCACACACACACACAGGTAAACAGTTTCAGAAAGGAGAAGGTTATTAGGGGAAGGCCACAGAGATTAAAATAATATGGAATGAAAAGGATCAAAGATTAGGGGAGTACATAATGATGTCACTGTTAAAAGACTCTAGTATAGAATAAGCAACCTTCTTCAAGAGAATGTTTTCCCTCTAGGACACAAGGAAGTGAAGTACAATGAGTATTCACTTAGGAGAGATCACCAGAGCAGCATGAATATTAAATATACCCATTACTTTCTTGTTTTATTTTTTTTTAAGATTTTGTTTTTAAGTAATCTCTACACCCAAACTCACAATCCCAAGATCAAGAGTCACATGCTCTACCGTCAGAGTCAACCAGGCACCCCCATTACGTTCTTGTTTTAATCTCAATATAGTACAATCGCGCCAATAGCAAATCCTACATTTAAATTCATCCTAAAGGACCCAAAGAGTCCTTCAGGAATATACTATTGATGTTATTTAAACTCTATTTGCCTAGACTTGTTTTGTGTTTGTGCTAGTAGGTCAAACATTATTTTCATGTATTCCGACTTAAAAACACATTTCATAACATGAAAGTTATAAGCTTTTCACCAAGGAGAAAGATCAGGGAAATAAGGCAAAGGAAAGCTTCTTAGCATACGTGTAAAATGCCTCCAAACCAAAGAAACAGGAAAAAGTACTAGTGACAGCTTCTTCTTCAGGAAAATGAAAATAATATGTAGCTTACTGAGCAGTTATAAGAATTACTATAAAGCACCTAGGATAGTCCTTGGCACATAACAAGGGCTCAAAAATGTTTATTATTAAGATGACCTTTAAAATTCCCTAATACTCAATTAGTCATATAATTAGTGAACTAAAGAGAATTCAGATAAAAGACTCAGTCGTTTCTATTGTTTATTTGTCAATTATTAAGAGTGCAGGGGGCACCTGGCTGGCTCAGTAGGTAGAGCACTAGACTCTTGATCTCAGGATTGTGAGTTCAAGCCCCACGTTGGGCATAAAGCTTACTTAAAAAAAAAAAGAGGGTGTATGTCCTGTTCAAGCAAAGATATGAAGTACAAAAATACCTGAACTATTTTCTGCCTTCAGAATTAAGCTATTTTCTCAGTCGCTCTCTTGATTATATAACATCACACTTGACTTGAACCAAAGCTAAGTAGAATGTGAAATATATTAAATATGCATTAGAAATAGTAAGTAAGTAAATAAATATATATACATACATACATAAACACATAAATAAAACAAGTTTTTAAAAAGAAGGAAATAGTTAACAAAAATTTGTCAACCATGGCATCCTCACCTTGTCTTTTGGACAAGAAATTGGACAAGATCCTGATGGATGTTTCCTGTTTTTCGCCCAACTTCTAAATACAAGTTTGGTCGATCAAAACCAGTACAGGTAATCTGAGGATTCTTCAGGTTTAAGCAGCGTACAATGTCTTCCCGGATTGAAGAACTTGCAGTAGCAGTGAGTGCAACAATTGGAACCTGAATGAAATGAAATTGATTTTTAAAAAAGGAGAGCGCTCATGAATTCCCAACATTTCTACTGCCTTCTTACAAACAGGCTGGATGACAACTACAAGAGGAACAGTGTTAAAAATGCAACTTTAAAATTACTCTTTTTCAAAGAAGAAGAAAATTTCCTACTTCCCTGTTTCTCAGCCTTTGGAATATCTTTTTTTTAAGGGAGGAGAGAGAACTTCAAGCAGGCTCCTCACCCAGCATAGATCCGAGGCAGGGCTCCATCTTGAGACCCTAAGATCATGACCTCAGCCAAAATCAAGAGTCAGATGCTTAACCGAATGAGCCACACAAGCACCCCAGAATACATTTACTTTTTAAAAATCAGAAAGAGTGGGCGCCTGGGTGGCTCAGTTGGTTAAGCGACTGCCTTTGGCTCAGGTCATGATCCCGGAGTCCCGGGATCGAGTCCCGCATCGGGCTCCCTGCTCAGCGGGGAGCCTGCTTCTCCCTCTGACCCTCCCCCCCCTCATGCTCTCTATC